ATTAGTATTACTATAAATTAAAATTATTAAAATTAATTAACATTATTACTTTAATTATTTACGTTTTATTATTATTAAAAAAGTGTTGTTTGATAATTTATTAAAATCAATTAATTTGAAATGCATATATAAACATTAAGTTGAATACATTTATTTAATTAAAACAGAACAATACATAAGGAAACAGGCTCTCCAACATACACGTTTATAAAAAAACCATTGCAAACTGCCTGCAAGTTTAAGCTATATTCATACTTTCTTTTGAAATAAGCCTAATTGCTAAGGTGAGGTGCATTTATTTTAACATGTGTGCTGTCAATCACGAACGGAAATTTTGCAATTGATATAAGCTAAACACTAGTTCTTTCAATTATTCTCCATACAGAAGTTTTTGGTATGCCAAAACAAATACTAAATTCGCGAAAAGTATTTATATTTGCCATATACCACAAAAATATGTAAATTTCATTGCTCTCGTTCAATTGTGACCACCACGGTTATTTTGTATTTGCTGATTGGATTTTATTAACAAATCTATTAAAATATGAAACATAATTAATATATAGCAATTGTATTTTTTATGCGCAAATACCAATCAAATAATCTTTAACGGAACTATTATTGATCGTTTCCATGAAATTTCCACTATATCCATGCTGATGCACTTCATCCCTTGAGCTTAATACACTTGGACTAGTGTTTAAAAAGAAAATGGAGAAGTCAGTTTTGCTCGATAATTCTAATAAAATCTGCAATTTCCATTTATTTACTATAGAATTAAATTTAAGTTTTTAAGTAAATACTAAATAAAAACTTACATTTCATACTTCAGACATTTCAACAGATTTTATTTATTTTCCAAGTTTTAGATTTTTTGTATTCAAAATTTTCTCACTTATTTTTTTAGCGCCAAAATTATTCACATAAATCAAAAAATTTTGTGCACAAACCCAACTGGCATATTTCATGCGTTGCCAATTATTTTCAAACGTGATCCGTATCGTTTCAGCAAAGATGATCCAGATCATTGAGCGGATCATGTTCGAACCGACAGCCGAAGACTAGCACCGATGGAGTAACAAATCGTAGATGCGCAAATAAAAGAATGGTTAGAAGAAGGTATAATCCAATCGAGTTCGTCAGATTTTGCAAGTCCAGTAGTATTGGCACATAAAAGAGATGGTACCTACCGACTCTGCGTAGACTACAGAAAATTGAATTCAGTTGTTATACGCGATAGATATCCACCACCTAATATAGAAGAGGTTTTAGAAGGACTTTATGATGCAAAGGTTTTCACAACACTAGATTTGAGAAATGGATTTTTTCATGACAAAAGTAGGAAATACACATCATTCGTGACACCCGATGGCCAATTTGAGTTTAAAAAGGCACCATTTGGTTTATGAAATTCTCCCTCTGCATTTCAGAGATTTATAAACACAATTTTCCAGAACGCCATAAGAGAAGGTGTAGTACTAGTATACATGGACGACTTAGTTATTCCAGCACGCAATGACGAAGATTCTATGAACAAACTGAAAATAGTTTTTAACATATGTGAAAAAAATGGACTTTTAATCAAGTGGAATAAGTGTACGTTTTTAAGTAAAAGTATTGAGTTTTTGGGACACAGTATTGAAAATGGTTCTGTCCGTCCCTCTGAAGAGAAAACAAAAGCAGTCAAGAATTTTTCAAAACCAAAGGACTTACGTGGAGTTATGAGCTTTTAAGATTAACTGGATTTTTCCGTAAGTTTATGAAAGATTATGCAATTCTAGCAAAGCCGTTAACGGACCTAACCAGGAAAAATGTTACGTTCAAATGGGACTCTGCTGAAGAAAATGCATTTGTTGCTTTAAAGAGGCAACTCTGTGACAACTCAGTTGTAAAACTTTTTAACCCCAAATTACAAACTCAACTACATACTGATGCAAGCAAAGAGGGATATGGCGCTATACTGATGCAAAGACACTATTTAAATTATCATTCGGTATTTTATTTAAGCTATAAAACGAAAGCTGCTGAAAAAAATTATTGTAGCTACGGCCTTGAAGTTTTGGCAATAATTAAGGCGTTGAAACGGTTCAGAATTTATTTACTCGAGTTAAAATTAGAAATATTTACAGATTGCAAGGCGTTTCAATTAACAATGGCAAAGAAAGCACTGAACAGTAGAGTTGCTGCGTGGGCTATGCAGATATCAGAGTTTGATTGTAAAGTATGTCATCGATCCGGCAATGCAATGCGACACGTGGATGCATTAAGCAGATATCCAACTGTATACAGATTAGAAGACAGCATTATACATATGGTTAAAGCAGCACAATTAAAAGAGGAGTCATGCCAGATTATCAGTCGTTTGCTGAAAAATGAACCGTATGAAAATTTTGAACTACGTTGAGGTGTTCTATATAAATTTAATGAAGGCAGACACTTGTTAGTTGTACCAAAATCAATGAATAAAGAAATAATTCTGAAAATACATGAGAAGGGACATTGGAGCGCGGATAAAGTAGTAGCGGTATTAAATCAAGAGTACTATATTCCGAAAGCTAAAAAGTATGCTGCAAGAATAATTGCAAACTGTGTGACCTGCATTCTTGCTTCTAAAAAAAATGGAAAGCAGGAAGGATTCCTTAACTCAATAGATAAAACTGATTCGCCGCTGCATACCCTTCATCTCGATCATTTAGGACCGTTGCCGTCAACTACGAAATCATACAAATACATGCTAGTCGTAGTCGACGCCTTTACAAAATTTGTTTGGATATTTCCAGTTAAGTCTACGACAACAGAAGAGGTAATTACTAAGCTGACATTATTAAATGACACATTCGGAAATCCACGACGTATAATAACTGATAAAGGAACTGCATTTACCTCTAACGCATTCAAGGATTACTGCGCTGCTAATCATGTTCATCACCATACTGTGACAACCGGAGTTCCAAGAGGAAACGGACAAGTAGAACGTATAAACCGAGTAATTATTGAAGTACTAACTAAGATGTCACTAGAAAACCCGCTGAAATGGTACATTCATGTAAGTAAGTTACAAAAAATAATCAATTCCACAGTAACAAGGAGTACGAAGAGAACACCTTTTGAACTGCTATTTGGTTTTAAAATGTTCACACCGGAGGACTTAGAATTAAATAGCATGATTGAAGAAGCAATTATTAGTGATTTTGAACATAAAAGAAAAGAGATGCGTGACAGCGCAAAGCAACAAATTCTTAAGATACAAGATGAAAACCGAAATCAATATGGTAAAAGACGTAAATTGGCAACAATATACAGGTTGGGTGATCTAGTAGCTATTCAACGCACTCAGTTCGGAGTTGGTCAAAAGTGCTGTCCAAAATATCTCGGTCCATATGAGGTGACGAAGGTGAAGCAAAATGAAAGATACGATGTAAGGAAAGTAGGTGATCATGAGGGTCCAAATACAACATCGACAGCTGCAGATTATATGAAAAGATGGGCGACTTATGAAGATAGTGAAAGTGAGTCGTCTGGGACAGACGACATTCAGGATGGCCGATTGTAAACAGTGAAGTATGCACTCAAACGAGTTTGCATGCAGAGGGCTAGCGGCGAGTATTGAGTACAAGAGAAGAGTAGTCGTCGCTAAGCTGGTGAACTTGCAAGAGGTTAAGCGGATGCATTTGCAAGAAGTTAAGCCGATGTTATATCTCAGTGGCATATATTTTTCGATTTGAATTGATTAAAATTTCATTGAAAAGTTTTGATATATTAATAAATAATTTCTAATTTTGTAAGCTTTGTGAAACCAGCTTTTGATATATTAATAAATAATTTCTAATTTTGTAAGCTTTGTGAAACCAGGTTTTGATATATTAATAAATAATTTCTACATATATTTGTTTATAATTTTACTACACCGTTGCATCGCATTGCCAACCTCATTTGCATTAAAATACGTTCCACTTTTATCTTTTACATACATTCCACATTGAACCAGAAAGTGAACCAGATCAATTGCTGGTTCACCCCATTGTTTTTGTTTTGCATATAAAATTGAGCGGATCATGTTTGCTGAAACGCAGCTAATATAACTTACTTATGACGTTTTCGATTGGTAAATCTGGATGCAATCTAGATTTACTCTGGATCTGTCAAATTTTGTTGCCCAATCGAACATTTTTAGTGTAATCTAACATGTTTGAAGTAGTGATAGTAAGCTTTTGACAAGTCACATAACAGGTCGTTAGAAATGGATAACGAAATTGAATACGTTATTGATGCTTTTGATAAATAAATTAAAATATATAATATAATTACTGTCATCATACAAAGTCAAGCTCACTCGCCTCGGAAATGGCTGGAAGAAGAAACAAAGTATATGCTTAACCTATACGTGAAGGAGCAACAACATATTGGACCACTTAAGAAATTTAAAAACAAAAAAGCAATGTTTGAAAGTATTGGTTGCGAGCTATCGATGAAATTCGCAGGCGTTTATACTGGCACTTAAGTGGAAAGTCGCTACAAGTGCATAACTCGTAGGACAAAAAAGGCGATAGAAAACAATTTTACAAGCGGAGCTGCATTTATAGAAACGCCGTATGATGACGAAATGGCACAAATTGTAGCGCAAGATGACCCACTGTGCCCTGAAGTTGCAATTGCGCCTTTTCAGAGTTTTTCGAAAATTTGCCATTTCGGAACACACCACAGAGACGTCTACTTTAAGTTCCTCATCATCGTCCCCTATTCCATTAACTTCACGTACTACGAAAAGAAAAACAGAGCAAGAGAAATATTTTGATAAGTATTTTGATTTGCAAGAAAAGAAAATGAAACTGCAGCAAGAAATAGAGGAAAATAAGCAACGCAGACACTAGGAAAAAACAGAAATTTTAAAAAAGATTCTTGAAAAATAGAATTGATGTAGTTATATATTTATTACTGTAAAGCTAAATTTTTTTAATATAAAAAAATATAAATTTAAAACATAAATTTTGAATATTACTCTAAAATGTTTCAGCTATTCCATTGCGTTTCAGTTTGCCCATGTGCTGTAAAACAGTCTCTGAAAGACCCAACTGCTCGCTTAAGATTTCGCCACGAAGTTCCCTTCTAACTACTTCTGCACAAACAACATTTTCTATCCAATCATCCTTTTCCTCAATGCAAAGATTATGAAGTACGCAACAGCCAAGCACAAACTTACACATTCTGTCCACAGGAAAAAAATCCAAATGACTTAACTGTCGCCATCGTTGCTTCAGCAATGCGAAAGAATTTTCAATACTAACACGAGTTTGATTATGTTTTTTATTGAATGGTTTTTGTTGTTGGGATAGGTCTCCATAATCCTTATTCGTAATTAACAAATATTCTCTCAAAGGATATGCTGAATCGCCAAATATGTGGAATTTATCAACACACACAGAAGAAAGCTGCTTGGATATCGGTGACAATTTGTATATTAGAGCATCATGAATTTTACTAGGTGATCCAACGAATAAATCTAAAAATCTTTTGTTACCATCACAAATAGTTTTTAATGTTATAGACAATAATCCGTGTCTATTTATGTACGTAGAGCGTATTTTATTGGCTGGTTTTCTAACATAAATGTATGTGCCATCAATGTACCCTAATACATTTCGAAATCCTGCAATCTATAAAATTACATGAACTTTCTAATTTATTGGAAGATCTTACTTGAAAAAATTGTTGAGCGTTGCTATCTTTTTCATCACCGCTTGGCATTCTTATAACTTTGGCTGATATATTGAATAAAAAATCCGATATGCAAGATATATATTTATGTACAGTTGAAGATGCTATGTGAAATAAATTGGCTACTTTTCTGTAAGTGGTTTTGTTGCCTGCAAACCTGTAAGTTGAGTTGTATGAAAGAGTTATTAATACATATTCAGAAATATGTAATAACCACCACAAAAATATAAGACATTGCGTTTCAGAACTACTTCCCATCTCTCCGCCAGCACGTATTTTATGTTTATAATGTGAAGATTTTCCATACTGATCAATTATTTTTTCTGTAGTTAAACGACGAACTCGAAAATTTTCTCTAAACTGCATAAATTATTTTTACAAATTGCGTAAAAATAAATAAACAAATTGAATTTTAATATTCACACTAACTTCTTTTTCTGTGTATTTTCCGTTTTTGTGTGTTTTTTTCGTTTTTCCAAATTGTATCAATTTGAAAAATATGTTTTCAATGCATTTGCAGCCAAATGTGCAATAATTTTGAATTTATCCATTTTTTAAAAACTTGATGGTCGTATAGCGAACAATTCACACTTTTTCATCTGTCAAATCATATAAAACAGCTGTTAATTTCAGGGTAATCTTGTTACTCTGGCAAAAAATCCAGATTGTTATAAATCAATCCCAAATGTTATACATAAATCTCGACTGTTATACAGATTTACCAATCGAAAATAAAAATTGCATTAGATTGTTATAAATTAATCTCGAGTGTTATAAATTTCGCCCCAGATTTACCTATCGAAAACCACATTAGTCTCGCTGCCTTAGCTAAAAATGTACAGATGAAAAATGTGTTTTTACGCTTTTTTCAACTTTTTCGATTTTCAATTTAATGGGACTCCCACAAAAAAATTAAAAAAAATTCTTTTTTTGATTTGCTCATCATAAAAATCCAATAAAAATTTGAGAAGTTATTCGACATTTTTCAAATTTGGCCAAAATAGTGTTTTTTAATAAAAAGTCAGAAAAATCATTTTTTCAAATTTATTTTGTAAAATTTAGAGTGCAAATCAAAATTGTAATATGTGAAATTGTACAAATTTTATTTAAATATTAAAACTTATTATTAAATATTATTAAATATTAATATGTTGTATTTTATATAAAAGTTTGACGTCTAACGTTAAACTGCTGATTGCCTATGTATCATGTGATATGGAGCAGTTTATTAAACTGCTAATTTAACATATAGTATCATATGACACCATACGATTCTACTTGGGATTCGCAATGGCTAATCAAGATATACCGTGGACTCCTGATGGAATGTGTCTAACCTTATGGAAAAATGTTGTGAACCATTCTCAGTGCTATTTTTACGTCATATATCTTAAAGGTGTGATGTCTGCAAAAAAAAATATCTCTAAAGTATCCGGAAATAGTATCAGCAATTCAGCCAGTTTCACGAAGCAATAAGACTGCTCCACCAACTCCACAAAACATGTAAGACAACAATAGTAAACATGAAAATAAAGTTTCATTTGAGAGTTCTACAAGTGAAACCGCAAATAATTTCATATCCAAATTGAATTAGCCGATTTAACTAGATACTTACATTATTAAAAATTCATAGTGAGTTACTTGCCTCGCGTCTTCAAAAGTGGAACTGCTTAAGTGGATCCACAAGAGGAACTGAATATCGCAACAGAAACAATGCATATTTATGTTTTTTCAAAAAATTACACTAAACTGTTTATTACAGCGATATTAAAGGTCTTTTCAAGAAATTGCAAATAAGGTGTAATCCTAACGAATGGCGTCTTTTACAGATAGTTTAAAATTTAGTTTAAAATCTGCTGTTGTTCACAACGGCAATGAACTTCCCACTATACCATTAGCGCATGCCGTTGGGGTAAATGAAACCTGTAATGATGTCGCGGAAGTTTTAAAGTTAATGCAATATACTAACGGTTCGTTTTTTTATTAAAGTACAATCAAACATACAAAAATGTACAAATCTGATTTTAAACATGTACTTATATGTACGCTTTCTGTATCTTTGTTTTTGTAGGTTATTGCAATAATCACTGATCTACAACATGATTTTACGAAATATTTAGGGTGTTCACGGGGCACTGGTTATCGGGTTATGTGATGATAAAATGAAAAAGAACCTGTGTGCACCGTGAACAGACTTTTATGTAGGTTATCTGGTTATTTTTATACAATCAGCTGTTCTTTGTTTTTGTCGTAAGTACAAAGAAATTTAAATTTCAAAATCAACACAAAATGCTTAAAAAGAGCATAAAAAATCAAATTATAGACTTAAAAATAAATGCAGCTATTAAAGATCTTGAATTTATCGAAGGTATGTGTTTTAAAGCTAAAAAGTTGCAAAAATCAAAGTTTTACCATTTATAGACACAGCACACTTCGATCAATGGCACGCTCTCATTGATGAAAGAATGGATGAACTACTGGAGGATGTAAGAACAATCACATCTTATCGACGAGGGGATGAACTAAGTGTGCCAAAATTCATTCATTGGCGAGATAATATATTATGTTGTTTCGACGAAGGACGATTTTTGCAAATGTTACGTGTCAACAAGAGTCAATTTGCTTGTCTTGTTGAAATATTTGCAAATGATATAATATTCAAAGGTCCAGGATCCAATATGCAGCTGCCCGTGGATTTACAACTCGCGATAGTACTATTCCGTTTAGGCTCTTCAGGAGAAAGTGCATCAGTGCGAAAAATCGCAACAATTTTTGGAGTGGGAGATGGTGACACTCTGACTAAAATTACCCAGAGAGTATTTTCAGCAATTTTGAAGAAATTACCGGTATACATTGAATGGCCTAGTGCGACTGAGCGTAGGCAACTTATTGCTCATACGTTCAGTGAGTTACCATTCTGTATTGGTTATATTGATGGAAGTGAGATAAAGCTGGCCGAAAAACCTAGTAATAACCATGAGGCATACTTTTCTCGTCAACGAATATATTCTATTAAATTGCAAGTTGTATGTTATCATAAGCTCCGCATCATGCACGCATTAGTGTGTAATCTGGGAAGCTACCGTGATTCTAAAATATTTAAGAAATCGCATATTGCAACAAACAGCGCGTGCTTATTTACTGGAGAAGAATGGATTGCAGGCGACTCTGCGTACCAGTTGACTAAACATTTGATAACGCCATATCGCACCAATTCTTCATTAATGAATATTGAACAATAAAACAAATTCAATAAAAGACACAGCCAATACCGCGTTAGCTATCATTAAATATATTTATAAAAACAAAAGTTATAACCCAAAGTAACAATAATACAAATCAAAATACAAATTACCTCTATGTTCCTGTGCTCTTGCATATAGCTTAGTACTGTTTTTATTTCTTGCTCCGTCCATTTCTTTACTTCATTTTCCCGTTCACGTTTCCGGATTTCGTTAGACATTAAAAATGGGAAATAAATAAGTCATTTGTTTATTTTTATTTAGTATAGATCAATTTAACTTACTTTTGCAAAATTTAAATGTTTGTTTACAAACGAAACTAGCTTCAAATGTTAGTGATGCCAATTTGAAATTCAAAATGAAAATAATGAAAAATTTTGTTAAGGCTCTGCAAAAAAACGAAAACCTTGCTTTCGAATATGTTACAAATTTCTTTCGCTGCATTTCTTTTGCTAAAATTGAAGAAGGTATCTTTGTTGGATCACAAATCAGAAAACTGATTAAGGGTGAAAAATTTAAAAATTTGTTGAATAAAGAAGATTTGAAAGCATGCACTTCGTTTAAGCAAATGGTTATCGGCTTTTTGAGCAACGAAATAGATTCACATTATAGAGAAATTTTTTCATCTTTAATTGAAAATTACAAAGGTATTGGGCAACTATGTCTCTAATAATGCATTTCTTGCACTCTCATGTGGACTTTTTTCCTTCAAATTTCAGAGCAGAAAGTGATGAACAAAGTGAAAGAATACAATATATAAAAATAAATATATATATTTAAATTATAAATTAAAAATAAAACATCATTTTTCGTTTTTCGATGAGTGAAAAATGTTTGTATTGTTTGCTGGAGGCATGTTTAAAAAATTGTCGAAAAATTTTAAGTGTCAGCCACGACATCATGCGCTGACAGCGGACGATGCTGTGTAAAGGGCACTTTATGCAATTGAAAAGACCTACTTCATTTGCGCAAGGTACCTATACATAAATATAATTATTCTATACCACACCAGTTGAAAGTTATTGAAATTGAGGTGTCAAATTCAATTTTAGATATTTTTTTAATGTTTGAAGAAAGAACGTTTACAATTTCGTTCTGAGAAAAACTATATAAAGTTTGTTTTCGTGTTAATTAATAAAGTGAGGAATCCCTTGTTAATCCACCTTTTAGTTGGTTCTATAGTAAAAGGAAAAAAATTATCAAAACGATCTGCAATCTTATTATTAGAATGTCACAACAATTTGAAGGCTGGAGAAAGTTAGATTACATACTTTAATTTTTTGCCCAGGGAATGTGTGAACTTCAATTCATTTACTGATGATGAATGAAAAATATATTTACTTGATGAGCGTATATCTAAGAATATTAAGAAAGAAACCCACATATTTGATTATCATTCATAAAGTAAATTACACCGGCACGATTCACAGTTTTTATACGGCTACTCTTTCAGGGTTGTTTAAATTATTACAAAATGTATTAGTATTAAATTACAGGGCTGCAGTTAAGTGTAATTATAAATTAATTATTTCCATTGATTATAAAACTTCACTGCTCTTAATTTTTGACAATGAAATGAAATGGCATATTAATTGAAATCCATAAATGCAAAATGAAAAGTAGTATGTGTGAAAAATTATACGAATATGGACGTTGAACTGCTTCAAGTTTTTTAATTAGACATTTGTGTTGGATGGCTAGATGAAGGTGGTGTTAAATTGTCGATATTGGGAGCAAATTCAAAGATTGGTTTTGAAGAGTTTTGGTCAGAGCTAGTTCTCGTTTTTAGCTATTAAGCATGACGTTTGATGTAACCAAAACATGTGTTAATTTTACCAAGCTATTTTACGATTACTCCTTTTATCAATTTTTTCCCTCTTGCGTAATTTCGAGCGAAGACAGGTTGCTTTAGATTGAATTTCATTTTCCGTTTTAAAGTTTCAAGGTACTTCTTTGGCGATTCAAATAGTTGACTTAACAGAGTATGAACAAGTCTTCCATGTAGAAGTTCGGCAGGTGATTTACCTTCAGCGTTCGGCATTGTAGGATATGTTGCAAGATATTTCGAAACAGCGAATTTGGGGGTCAATCCATCGTCGCTGTTTTTCTTAACAGTAGTCTTACAAGATCTGACGAATCGTTCGGCTAAGCCGTTTGAGACTGGATGAATCGGCGCTGTTGTTATATGTTTGATGCCAAGTTTTGAGCAAAAGTATTTGAATGTTTCAACTGTCAGTTGCGGACCATTGTTGCTTACGATGGTTTCCTTCAGGTGTACCTTCCAGGGAAAATGCTGATATCGTGTCATCCGTTGTTGTTGTAGATAGTAGTACGATGAACGGAAATTGCGAGAAGGAGTCGACCCATATTAGGCACATTGAATTACAAAATGGACCAGCAAAGTCGACATGTTCTCTCTCCCAAGGTCGATCCACTTCAGGTCAGCGGAGGTAAAGCAAATTGTTGTTTAGCGTTAAAGCAAAGCGATGATTAAAAAATGATCGAAAATCAGTATCTTATGGCATTAGCTTTTCAGGCCAACGGTTGTCAACAAGAAAATAAACGCGGTGAAGGATTGGGTCATTTTTGGCATGTTGACGAATTATTTAAGCGTCGATAGGTACATTAAATTCATTTATGTTGAACGAGATAAATCATCGGCAGTTCCATGATCGGTAGTTTCATGACAACGTACATAATACTGATAAGCCATTCCTGCAGACGATGTGTCATAATCGACGGCAACTGATAACTTGGATTGACAATGCTAGCAAGAGGTTTGTGGTCAGTAACCAGGGTGAATTTTCTTCCATACAAATATTGATGAAAACGCTTCACTCCAGAAAAGATAGCTAGCCCTTTCTTGTCTATCTGACTATATCATTGCTGATGAATATCTACAGTCTTAGATGCAAAAGCAATAGGCCTTTCTGTACCGTCAGCGTATACATGCGAGAGCACGACTTCTATGAAAAAACTCTGCATGTTTTTTAACGATAAAAGATTGCCCGACAAGGATTGCAAATATTCGTCTACTGGAGATGTCAAAGCTTTTAATTTGGTTTTGTCTTATCCAATACATTGTTTATATGTGATTGTTCCAATGATGTTGTCTTTAAAGATCTCTAGAAGTTGTTGATAGATGTTTATAGTTTCACGACATTACATGTTCTTAAAAAAACATTCTGTGTGTCATGTATGAGAATCATGTGGTATAAGCAATTTTTATAAACATTTATCGACGCCTTTCATTATTACTTTTACGTTTTCATAAACAAACTGATTGTGTGTCACTGGTAAATTTAGAAAAAGCACATTTGTGGTCTTGAAAGAGTAAGTTTGAAAAGAGTATGCAGTTCCTTCAGATTACTCAGAATAAGCCGGTTTTTTATTTGTGTCCTTTTTCAGTCAATTTTTACACAGAAACAATCTTTATATCCAGTCACTATTTTACTATATTCATCACATCTGTAAAAGTTAAAAACTGCATCGGTTACATGTATCCTTAGCTATCGATGCTTTTAGGATTTGGGTCTTCTAAAGTGGTCATAAGATAGCATCGCCCACTGAAAGCACACGAAGTCGTCACTCACCATTACACACCAAATTTTTCAACAATTTTTTTAACACACCTCCAGCAAACAATGCAAAATTTGTTCACTCATCAGTGTTAAAGCAATCCCTGAAGTGTCAACAGCGGCTGCTATGCGTAATTTCGTAACGAAAAATGATGTTTTATATTTAATTTATAATTTTAATTTATATATATATTTTTATAATTTTAATTTATATATTTATTTTTATGTATTATATATTATTTAGTATTTTGAATTCTTTTTTGATATGTTTTAGTAATAAATTTTTCGTAGGTAGACAATAAAAATAATATTTAAAATAAAATATTCCTTGTAATTTAATGTTCGGTTATTTATATTGTTACGTAATCGTCTGTGTGATTATTCGAATCTCAGGATTTTGTAAAAAATGAAACGAATTATTAGGAATGGAGAAACTATACTTACATATTTTGTGTATTACAAAGAACTAGTATTAATTAGGAGTCAATTTAATAAAAACCACAGCTTCACACCAAACAAATTTCCAAACTAAACTTTTTTGTCAAAATATCAATTGACATAATGTTTAAATAATATTTAATAATATTTAAACATTTCATTGCTACTCTGATGAAATTCGTAACAATATATTTTTGGTAGCCCAAGGTTATTAATATTTCAATTCTTCTTTTTGGAAATTACAAAGTTTTAACTAGGTAGAAAATACAAATATTTAAAATAAAAAATACAATTCATTCATATTTGCAAAGCATCGCATGCTAACGATAAATCATGCGTGCATTTAACGATTTTTAAGCTTCCATTTCTCTAAATAAATGATATTTTGCATGCCGACAAAATCCGACTGTATTCGTAAAAACACGAGCGTGTTTGAAGAAATATCAAAATTTTTTGATTTTCGTCAACGCATTTCAAAATGTGTTTTATTTTCTAGTATATTTGTTGTTTTATCTGAGGCGTGCTTAAAAAATTGGTGAAAAACTTAATGACAACGGACGATGCTGTGTAATGGGCGCTTAAAAGGCTCCTTTCTGAAGCAAGCCTTTTTGCAACAGTAATCGTATGTTTTGTAGCGTTTGGGAAGTAAATGACCTTTCGGAAACATAAACTATGCATTGCACTTAATATTTTTATTTTCATAGTTCTATCTGCTGTGCCATTACATTTTTCGTGTTGATTGTTTAAAATTGATGTGGGCCATCTTTTTATCGCTATTGTTGGAGTCTTCGGGAGGAATAATAAAAGTTTTAAATTTCTGATTTAAAAAAAAGATGACGTAAAACTAATTCATTTAATAAAAGTATTTAATACTTTTATTTCTACGCAGAATTAAATAATAAATTCAACTCAGAAATAAAAAGTAAAAGTGTTTGTGTCATATTTTGTGTGCAATTGATTTAATGGTGTTATGGTGCGTATGAG